GTGTGGGGTTAATTTGGAGGGGCCGGGGGGTGGGGATCCCCGCGGCGGGATTGCGGGGGTGAAATCCCCACCCCGGCTTGGGCACCGGGGATCCCCGCGTGACAACACTGGTCTCGATGTACAGAACCTGCAGGATGAGACTGATCAGATGTTGGATGGCGATGTGTGTCAGGGTCAGAAATGGAACACAAGGGATTCACATGATCTTTGCAGACATTCAGAATGATGCGCGTATGGATGCACGGAACCTGGCAGGATGAAACTGATCATATGATGGATCGCGATGTGTGTCAGCTTGTAGCAGCCAGGTCCTGTGCCTCTTACAGCTGAATGTGCAGTCCCTCGGGAGGTCACAAACTTGACAAACCAAACTCACTTATCCTGGTCAGTTTTCCACAATGACCTCACCTGACCATTCAATCAACACATAATGCTTCCCACACAAAGGGTCATCCTCACCCCAAACTTGACAAACCAAACTCACTTAACTGACCTTTGTGTCATCCTCACCCCAAACTTGACAAACCATACTCACTTATCCTGGTCAGTTTGCCACAATGACCTCACCCACACCATCCACTCTGACTTGCTTGCCTTTGCTTTAGTGAGCACTCACTTCTCATTCAGCTGCATAAGAAGGTGATGAGCGAGTTGCCATATGCTCTCTTTTGAATCCACCTCAAGTGCAACCAAGTGCGGTACACATGTCATAGGATGAACAAGACCTTGCCGAAGCACAACTTCCACGATCTGCAGCCAGTTCCAACAGACACATGACATATTTATAGTTCCTCAGAAACTGGATTTTTAGTTTTCCATGCATATTCCCATTCTTCCACGGATGTGGCATTTTCCCATTCTTGAATGATTCTTCCCATTCTTCCAATAACAGTCTCGTACACATCAGGGCATCTCTCTCTCTCTCTCTCTCTCTCTCTCTCTCTCTCTCTCTCTCTCTCTCTCTCTCTCTCTCACCCCTCCCCCTCACTCTCTCCCTACAGTCTGTAGCATTCAGAGGCAACACAAATTCGGAGGCATAGCAACTTCAGGAGCCCAGTCGCATGGTAGAATAAACCATGTGCTCAGGCACAATACATAGGTCATCGGGTCTCATAAAACGGCAGCTACTCTGTGGTCACAGCAAACCCTTGTAAATGACTGAGTTAATTATAACCGTAGTAGTGGTGGTGTTAGTGGTACTCGTGTCGCAATAACGGATTTAATGGTGATAATGGTGCTGGCAGTAGCAGCAATGATGGTCGTCGTAGCGATAGGGAGTCTTTAAATTCAGGTTCCAACACCCCAATGTTAGGACCGTGAGCGGAGTCATTATCTTTGAAGCTATCTAGCACTGTATTTGAAAGATGGCCACATTGCATGGATGCTCGACAACAAATTTTTCATAGCATTATGCAGCTGGACAGATCTCTCACTGAGAGACAACAGACTCAACGCCGTGATGTGATGGCAGCAGGGAATATCATTCCTCCCGGCTGTTCCCGGAATAGGGGCTGGGAGCAAGTGACTGCAACACTACGAGATGGGGGCATGTTAATCCCCTTTGACACCGGAGGGGAATCAGTGCAGGTCCCAAGAGTGGAAGGAGGATGAAACTTTATGCAACAACTCGGGAGTGGACTGCTCCACAGCACGTGTCGCTTCCTGGCAAATTAAGACCGGAGCCACCACAAGAGCGGACCTCCCATCAGACATGGGCTCTTATCTCAGCCTAATGGTGGGCCACTGCAGCTGGTGTTCAGAAATAAAAAAGAAAAGAAAAGCTGGTCGGTACGACATATGTGTACGAGGGTCTTGCGTATATGCATACATGTACTCTTGTATGCCACACAAGTCAAGGGCAGCTAGGCAGTGCAGGGGTGGTATACGTACTTGTGCGTGTGAGTACACTTACATGACGCCGCCTAGAAAAGAAGTGATGAAATATAAAGATGAGCTGATTCTACCCTAGATCCTTCTTGGTTTTATGAAATGGTGATGAATGGTGACTCACATCCCTTCCGTATGTGAAAGGCGGGCCTCCCAAAGACCTGTTACGACCAGTCGGCCGCCAAAACCTGACCCGAAAAAAAGAGAGCTGCTTCTACCCTTCTGGTGGAAAGATTGGTGCACTTCACACTCGTTACCTTCTTTTTGACAGATCAGTTATTGAGCTGAATAGAACAGAATCTGGGGTGGTATACGTACTTGTGCGTGTGAGTACACTTACATGATGCCGCCTAGAAAAGAAGTAATGAAATATAAAGATGAGCTGATTCTACCCCAGATCCTTCTTGGTTTTATGAAATGGTGATGAGTGGTGACTCACATCCCTTCCGTATGTGAAAGGCGGGCCTCCTCCCAAAGACCTGTTACGACCAGTCGGCCGCCAAAACCTATCTGACCTGAAAAAAAAAGAGCTGATTCTACCCTTCTGGTTGAAAGATTGGTGCACTTCACACTCGTTACCTTCTTTTTGACAGATCAGTTATTGAGCTGAATAGAACAGAATCAACAAATACTACACTCGATCTTAGCCAAACTGATGAGAAAGTTATATAATGCAATCCAAACTCTGTACTCGATCTTGTTTGTCCGTGTGACGCTGCCTTATAAGGACAGCAGTACTTTGATAACCGTGCAGAACGGCAGTAAGCCTGGCTGAGAGACAGTATTTTGAGAGGTGTAGCTCAGCGATCATGAGCTGTCTGCGAAGGGTGAGCTGATAGCTTCTTCACAATTGTTGCATTTGATTTTCTATGATTTCAAGTACTTTGATTGGTTGATATAGCATCTACTATACTGAGCCGGAAAATGTAAAACAGAAAACAAGACAGTAAATGCTACAGGGGGCTGAACATTCTGCCGTTCAGGCTGAAACGTTCAGCTGGAGCTGGAGCTGATTCTACCCTTCTGGTCAAAAGATTGGTGCACTTGACACTCGTTACCTTTGTTTTGACAGATCATCTATTGAACTGAAAAGACGAGAATCAACAGATACTACATTTGATCTTCGCTAAAACGCCAAGAAAGTTATATAATGCAATCCAAACTCTATACGAGTCTATAGCATAGCATGCAAACACAACAAACACACAGAGTGCCCTGTCATTGTTTGTCCGCGTGACGCTCCCTTATAAGGACAGCAGTACTTTGCATGATTGAGACCTGATAACCGCGCAGAACGGCAGTAAGCCTGGCTGAGAGAGAATATTTTGAGAAGCATAGCTGAGTGATCATAAACTGTCTGCAAAGGGTGAGCTAACAGTTTCTTCACAATTTGTTGCATTTGATTTTCTATGATTTCAAGTACTTTGATTGATTGATACAGCATCTACTATACTGAACCGCAAAATGTAAAACACAAAACAAGATAGTTAATGCCAGTCACAGAACTTCTGGACATAGTTTGCAAAGCACACACGTTTGTCTCACTCTAAATATTTTTTGTCTGTCGGCCACTTTGTAAACTCTCTGGTCTTTTCCTGTGCTTCCCTTCTTTGTCGAAGTGAGCACCTTCAAGATGTGCCAAATCGTATGGAGTGCCTGCAACACTATTAATGGGGCTGCTGTGCTCGGGATGCCTGTGTCAGTGTTTTCTGGATGATGAGAGACATTTGTCGAAGCGGCTCCCTGGCTCCGATGGTGATATGCTACAATACGTTGGTGATATGCTACAATACGTTGGTTATATGCTACAATACGTAGAGTTCTACTTGCGGTTCGAGTACGTCATAATCTGCTCTGGTCCATTACAGTGCCTTTCTGCTGCCTAGCTGCCGTTCCACTTGCCTTGAGACTTGGTTCGGTGCCTGCCCGCTCATCCACTTTGCCCCTCCCTATGCCCTGTTGAGTTGCTGCCTTGACGCCTTGCTGCTAATCGTGCAGCCCTGCTGCCTGCCTTGTCATTTGGCTGCCCACACACCTTCCTCGCGCCCTGCGGCCTATGTGCCTTGCTGTTGCTTGCTTTTCAGTGCCCTATTTCGAAATGAGTCAGTGCTAGTCCAACCAAACAGTCTGTCATGATCCTAGTTCCTTTTTTTTTCTATCCCACTTTTGTTCTATCTGTGGTCCAGGTGGTTTCCATATGACGCTTTTTCAGAACTTGCTTAATGCACCAATTCTGAATACGTCTTAATGCCGCTCAACTGGGTACATTATGCTGCACTGCAAAGGCAGTGTCTCGCAACATCCACACCCACACCTAAACCCACACCCACCCAGCCTCCCCCCACCTCCCCCCACCTCCCCCCGTTCCCCCCCCATACAAGCAGTCGGTGAAAGTCCAATGAAACGACCTGGCACAAGTTGCGTATAACGAACATCACAACGCACACACAAAGCACACACAGCACTGAAGGCATTGAACCTGGAACGCTTGAGAGAAGGGACAGCACAACACTATACTTGGTCCAGGTGGTTTCCGTATGACGCTTTTTCAGAACTTGCTTAATGCACCAATTCTGAATACGTTTTAACGCCGCTCAACTGGGTGCATCATGCTGCACTGCAAAGGCAGTGTCTCGCAACATCCACACCCACACCTAAACCCACACCCACCCAGCCTCCCCCCACCTCCCCCCGTTCCCCCCACATACAAGCAGTCGGTGAAAGTCCAATGAAACGGTCTGGCACAGGTTGCGTATAGCGAACGTCACAACACACACACAAACACACACAGCATTGAGAGTAGGGACAGCACAACACTATACTTGGAAGCTCTAAAGGCGAGTTGTGTAACACACCTTTAGTGATGAATGGCGGACATCATCATTCATATTAATGCACGCATCTAAAATCTCCTCCCAGTACAACTGAATAATGCCCCCACAGATGTTATTGTCTCCAGCTCCGGCTGCATCAGGGACATATCCATCCTGTTGTTGCACTACGCCATTGGCAAAACTGTCCCTGGCTAGCGCTTCCATCGATGCCTCCACGTCGAGAAGATATTCCAGAAAATTCTTCAAGGTTTGGACCTTCGCTTGAGAGAGAGAGAAATCGAAACAGTGCCAAAACGCCATTGACATTTCTTCATCAATTGATACCTCCCCTGACAAACAACCAAATAAGAATACCATGGAATGCAAAAACGATCCCCTGAGAATTTCCCTCCCAATTCTTATACAGATGGTGGCTTCCACAAGGTTTGAGCACAACATCATGGGAGATCACACCATTGTCAAGCAAGAAGAGGAGCAGAGGGGCACCTCCGTCCCTCTCCTCTCTCCCTCTCTCTCTCTCACACACAGACGGAGACACACACACGTGCTCTTGGTGGCTGGGGTGGATTATGTATAAGATTGGAATGGAAACACTGCTTCTCGATTCACAGTCGACTTGTGACTTGACTGCACAAACTCAAAGCAATTTTGGAAAAGGACAAAACCATCCTGTGACTCGGCCTACACCTGCACCCTTTGCAGCTTCACAACATTTATTAACCAGATACTATCTACATATAGCAAAAAGTGTGGGAGCGTGCGAAGCTAGTCATGGTGGTCAACAAGAAAAACACAGAGAAAAGAGTGCTCGGTCTTCGACACTCCCGGACCCACCCGTACTGCAAAACCAAAACAAGAGTAACCCTAACTACCACTGGGTACCTGTAATGCCCTTCAGTGCCCCCTTCAACTCCCCCTTCACAATCCATCAATACCAGCCTCAAGCCCCTTGATAACCCTTCATAGTCTTGACACCCAACCCCTTCGACAGTCCTGTCCAACAGCATTCCCAAAGCCCACAATACCACAGGCAACCCCCTCCACCACCGTCCAGACTACCACAGAGGTAACTCTATGCCCCATCATAGTCCTCTCAAGGCCCTGTAACCTGTTGATAACCCCCATACAAAACACTCCTTTGAGAAAGTTCACCCCCTCAACCAGCCACCCCCACCCACAACTTGACACTTGTGAAGGACCCTTGAACCCTCCACACTGGTACAACCCTCTCTACACTCCTCTTACCACCCTCAGCCGCTCCCAAGCTGCCAACTCCTTTCCATCCCTGCAAGCCTTTAACTCCCCTGGGAAAACCAGCCGAATCCCTGTCATTACCGCTGAACTGACATCTGATCAACCCCCAACTTTAGTTGGCAATCCTTAACCCAGTCCCTACTCCCCACGCCACGAAGCACACTACAACGGGCCAGCAAAAGCCAAGATGAGGAGATCGCTATGTCCACACTCCTGTCTCTTATACACATCTAGATGTGTATAAGAGACAGCCTCAACCCCACACACTCTGGACAGCTAAAAAT